GGGTCTCACTATGTAGTTGAGACTGACCTGGAACTCACTATGTAACCCAGGCTGGTCTTGAACTCACAGTGATCCTCCTGCCTCAGCCTCCCAAGTTTTGGGATTACAGGCGTGTGCCACCTCACCCAGCAGTTTTCATTCATTTTTAAAATGACAATTAAACTGCATGCTTAAAATTGTTAACTATAGGGCTGGGGATTTAGCTCAGTAGTGCCACCACCTGCCTCGTAACCGCAAGGTCCTGGGTTCAATCCCCGATACCAAAAAAAAAAAAAAAAGTGAAGTAAAAAGCCTATAATTTCAGTCTGAACATTTTAAAAACATTGTATATACATTTGAATGTTGATATTAGAAAGGCTTTCATGTTTGTAAGCCCTAATGGCAATATAATATCCAGTGGCATTAAGGTGCCAATCTTCTCACACAGCCTTTGGTCACAACAGTCCTTTCAAATAAAGCCACCTACCCATACTTTCTATCATTATATGCATGACTTTTTATTTTGATCAGCAAATATGGTTTCCATATCATAAAAATATAATTTCTTATCTGAAATGAATAATCTGTATTTTAATCTCCAGAATAAATATAAATGGTCTTGCATATTCATCTCACACTGTAAATTTTGGTTTTCTTGGTTATCAATTCTCCCGATTTTTATGCTATTAACCTGAATTTTCATTTTAATGTTTACTTGATCTTTTAAGAAAATTAAACATATCTCTCAATATCTACCTCTTACTAACATATTATTGACTCAATAGTGGACAATTCAGAAATTTGAAAAGGTAAGATTAGATCTCAGAGCAATATAAACATATGAGGCCTTTTTAGTAAGGACTGTAGCACTAGAAGTAGGAAAAGAAGCTCATTTATTCTATTTTTACTTCATATGTACAACCTGGATTAGACCTTCTTTACCTGATAGAAAAGTATCAGTGTTTTTAAGAAGGCAAATCCAAAACATTTTCTTTGATCTATCCCAGAACTCTGTTACTCTTTACCTCTTCTCCCAGAGCTCTTTAATGAGCTTCCTCTGCTCATTACTTCACTATATATAATACATACAATCCCATCATATATAATCTCTTCTGTGATGACTCTACTAAATCACAAGACTATATTTCCATCTGTACTTCTAGCCATAGTACAAATTCACTACCTAAATTTTGTCAAAAAAATTTACAGGGAACACTTGCTCAAGTGACACTCAAATTTGTATCCGCAAAGACTTGACCTTTACGGTTTTTCCTTTTTTTAACAAATAATATATTTTATTTCATCCCTGAAAATAAAACAAAACAAAAATGTCTACATCTAATCAAGAGAGAACAATTATTCCAAAACTTTACCTGGTAATAGTACATAATTAATTTAAAAGTACAGAGAAGGCAAATTTGGAAAGCTATCTTCATGAAATAATATTTCTCATACTTATTTTAACAAAATATTGTAACTAATGCTACTACTTAATGGTAGCATATTGTAATAATGAACAATATAATATCTAAAATTAATTTGATATAGTCTAAATCTAGAAGCTGGCTGCATTTGAGCAGTTATTATAGAGAATAAATACTATGAAATAAAGGGCATCGTACAACAATCAGATATATTGGAAAATTTAAATAAAGTGTACTTTGTTCTATACTAGAATTACCCAAGATTAGGTTTTACTGTGCTGCATACAGTAATTGTTTTCCTGAAAAAGATAGTCAATCTTCATAATTTATTTTAAATGTTCTTAAGCGGTCATTATATAAGATGAATATTTAATACAAATTTCCATAAAGGATACTCTTATGTAACATAAAGTAATATGTTCCAAGCAATTTATGCAGCATGAATACCTGTATTATATACATCTGACTAAAGTCCTTGAGACCCTGTCTCTCCCACCAATATAACAAAAGCAAAAATTGCCCAAATGTGGAAATCATGTGCTTCTCCTTATGGCATAGACACTCAATGAATTAAGTTTTGTTTTTAAAGAAAGTCTCACTGAGTTCCCTAGGTTGACCTTGAACTCTCAATTCTCCTGCCTTAACCTCCTGAGTAGCTGGAATTACAGGAAGGTAACACTGTACTCAGCTAAGGGGTTAAACTTTTAAATTAACATTCA